CTCAGTAGCCCCATCGGGGGCCGCCACCGAAGAGGTGCACGGGCGTGTGGTGCACGAAGTACCAGATGCAGCGGCCGATGAAGCCATAGGCGCACTCGTCCGTCTTTGAGGCCTCCGGTCGTTCTTTCTACTAGGCACAGGAAAAGGCAGTAGGGGCTCTGGGGTGTCTGTTGGAACTTGGGCTTTTGACCGGCCTCGATGACCTCCTTCTGGACCGCGCAGACCTGGCCCCAAACGCACATGAGGCCGGAGTTCTTCTCCCAATTGGCTCCGGCCACGAAGCAAGCATCGTCGGGGCCCAGCGAGGTGGCGAACATGCCAGCTCCCCAAGGCCAGTGCATGTTGGCAATCTTCAGCGGATCGCCACAGCAGTCGACGGTCTTGTTCTGGAACAGAAGCCTGTCCGTCTTCTCGATGTTGGTGCACGCCACAATGCACATCTCCTCACCCGGATAGGAGATCTTGGGAATCGGCGGGATGGGCCACTCGTTGGGCTTCTTGCCCGGCTCCTCGACACAGGAGTAGTTGCAGTCGCCCACTGCGTAGATGCGCGGGAAGCCTTTCTCGTCACCTCCCCACAGCTTTCCCTCACGGGTCTTCACGGCCAGGCTCTGCTCCTTACAGCAGGGCGTTGCACCTACCACAGAGTCCTTCGCCTATGCTGTATGTGCTGCCGAGACTCCATCAGGATCCAGCCGCCGCCGCCCGGCCCCTTCTCGCTGAGGGTCTCTTTGGGCATGAAATAGTTCGACGCCTTCACGCCGATGCACACGTACTCCTTGTCGGGCCCGCTCGGCAGCTCGATCTTCTTCCAAAATTCGGGATCCTTGGCATCGTACTTGGTGTTGTAGAACTGCTTGATGCCCACTTTCTTCATGTACGCCTCCTGAAAAGGCTGGTGTTTGGTGGGAGAACTACACAGGGCAGGGTGCTTGTGTGCGCTGCAGCCGACTTACAGCTGAAGGCGCTGATGGGAACAAAAAGGGTCCGCAAGATGCGAGCTGCGCAGGACACTGAAGCTGCTTCCGAGGCTCGCAGTACTGGGCCGCCTTTGCCGGAAGTGGGCCAAGGGGCTGCGGCAGGAAGTCGATGATGGTCAGCTTCAGCCTTGGGAAGAAGTGCTGGAGCTCGGTGACCCACTCCACGCCGATGAAACCGGCGCCCACCACCAGGATGGTGGCGCCTTTCTCGTTCAGACCCTTGATGAAGTTGAACCTTCAGAGCCATGCCACAGTCTCGACCCTCTCACAGTCTCAAGCCACTCTGGCCGACCCCGCTGCTGATCGGCTCTGCAACCGCGTAGCTCCTCGAGGATGTGTCGTCGTCGACCTTCCAGGAATCGCTCGTCGAGGTGCGGCCAGGAGCCTGCCAGAACCGTCACAGCTTCTGTCTCTGTACTCTTCAGGCTCAGAACCCACTCGCCCTGGACAGGCCTTCTGGCCGTGCGTCTTCATGGATGGTGGGGAACCACAGGGACTCACCCCACCTCGAGAAGCAAGCGCTGCATGCGGGTGCAGGAGCTGAGGGAGCTGGGGACCCAACTTGTGGAAGGGACCGAAATTGCAGCCGGCGCAGATGAGGCAGTAGTCGAAGTCGATGGTTTCCTCATGGCTGAGATGTGAAGATATATGAGCTACACTGAATCACAGCGCGGCCGAGGCTCCCGTCCCGACTGGAACATAGGCTTGTAAGTGGCAGTCTTCTCGTCGCCGTTCAGCTCCTTGACTTCGCCCCAGATGAACTTGCAGCCCATGCGGGTCTGTCAGGGGGCCGAGAAGATGCTCTCGGCAGCTGCCCTTGCGAAGCTCAACTCGCTCCCCTGCCTCGATGACCGGCTGCAGCGTGAAGGTCAGGGCATCCAGGTGCTTCGGCTTCACATAGGCGCGCAGCACACCAGGAGTGTACTCGAAGAACTCCTGAGCAACGGTAGGAACGGGCGCGGAGAAGCCCAAGCCCTGAATGGAGCCTTGGCATCGATGATGGTCACCAGGAAGTGGTTGGCAAG